GCTCAAGAGAAGAAGGAAGCCAAGCGAAAGCGGCACGCGTTGGAGCTGCAAATAGCTCAGGAGAAGAAGGAAGCCAAACGAAGACGGCTCCAGTTAAGTATCGTGGGAGAAGAAAGATGCAAAACGGAAGCGAGTTGAGCTGGAGCAGCAGGAGTTGCAAGAAGGCAGAACTGGGGCATCGAATCGCTCAGGCGAAGAAAAGACGTCACGAAAACGATATGAAACGGAGCGGCAGAAGGCTCAGAATGACTAATAGGTTCAATGGATGAAGATCGGAGAAAGGACTCTGATGTTAGGTCCTGAAATCGACGAGTCCCAACCTGTGGAGCGGTGACGCCCACATCTGGCGGCGGTGACGGTGGTGGTGCCCTCAATACCATCCCATCAGATCTGGACAACGGAGAACTGCTGCCTGGTCCTCTCGATGGCCCCTCCCTCCTCCCCTGTTCGCAGGGGCCTGCGAACATGTCCTGGGAAGAAGTTCTCTCAGGTTGAGTTTGTCGCCGTGGTTGTGCAATTGTGTCGCAACAGCCCTGTGGAATCGATTGTACAAAGGGGGGAAAGTATGTAACATGCAAGACGGAGCATTGAGCGTGTTGTGGGAGACTCACATGTCACTCTTGCGGTAACGATACGCCACCTGGAACGTATCACAGTGGGATGACAGCTGAAGGGGACAGAGTAGTTGGTATATAGTGTGCTGGAAGCCGGGCCCCCTTATTTGCATACAGCCTTGTGCCCTGTGCCCTGTGCCCTGTGCCCGTTTTAGATGTTTTCTTCCCTCCCTCAGACTGGTAACCTAGCTAGAAGAGAGAAGATATATTTTCTTACAGATGAATGCAATTTTCCCAGATAAATCTCGCTTGGTCGAAGGTGCTCCATGAAGTGCAGGGTGAGAACATGCTGGTCCCTCAGCTACTCAGCGACACCGTTGGACGCCGGCCAATTGGCGGATGCACGTGGCGTCTTCCGATAAGTCTTCACCACAGTTTACAAATCAAACGAAGGGAACACGCTTTGACAGCTTTTGACTCTCTGAATCTGTCGAGACTGCCCGAGTATTCGTGTGATGGACCAGAATAACGTGGTGGTCACTGCCATCAGCGTGCTGCTTGGCACATGTCTGATCGGGCTGTGCATCAATCGCATATATTTCTCCCCAGTGGCACACATCCCGGGCCCGCTGCTGGCAAAGATCAGCTATTGGTACGTTGTGAAGTTCTGATGGATCATTCAAGCGGCTGACTTCAGGTCCGCGAGGTACGAGTTCTACTACGATGTCGTCTTGAGAGGGCAGTATGCGTTCAAGATCAAGAAGCTCCACGAGCAGTACGGCCCCGTTGTGCGCATCAACCCTGCAGAAGTGCATTTTGCAGACCCGGACTTCTACGATGCCATCTATGCTGGCCCGTCGCAGAAACGGGACAAGTGGTCGTGGTTCTGTCGCCAGTTTGGGATCCCCGACTCGACGTTTGCGACCGTGGGCCATGATCAACATCGCCTTCGCAGAAGCGCCTTGAACCCCTTCTTCTCAAAGGCAAAGGTGCGAAGTCTGCAGCCGCTCATTGAAGACGTGGCCCGCAAACTGCTCGCTCGGTTCGAAGAGTTCCAGATGCTGGGTGATCCGCTCACTATATCTCTGGGCTTTGCTGCTCTAACAAACGGTACTGTACACTGGATGACACTCATTCCAACCTGGCTTCCGTATTAGGCTGAAAGGCTGATCCTACGACAGATATTGCCGAGCAGTATGCATTGGGTCAGAACGAGAATCGTGTCCTGGCGAGAGACTTTGATCCGAGCTTTCACGACGCCTCAATCGTGGGTAGTACAATGGGCCATCTAACCAAGCAGTTTCCTTTTATTCTCTCCTTGATGCAGTCTCTCCCCGACGATCTCACTATCATGATGAACCGGAGCATGGCCTCGTACGTAAAGCTTCAGCGGGTGAGAAAAGAGATCTCGACATCAAAAAAGGGGTGTGGCGCCATGTTTCTAACCGTGCGAGAACAGGACATCAGGGCCCAGATCGAGCTGATCCACCGACATCGAGAGAGCAGCGTGTATAAATCCTCGCCACACCAGACCATCTTCCACGAGATCTTGGAGAGCAACCTTCCCGAGGCCGAAAAATCCACGTCTCGCCTCTGGCAGGACGGCCAGGTCACCGTCATCGCCGGGACGCTGACCACCGCGTCCGCACTGTCATGCACGCTTTTCGCTCTGCTCTCCCAGCCAGAGCTGCTCCGACGGCTGAAGTTGGAGCTAGCGGCGGCGATTCCTAATCCCAATCGGTTACCGGAGCTCACTGCGTTGGAACAGCTCCCGTTCCTGACGGCCTGTATCAAGGAGGGCCTCCGACTGAGCAACGGAGTCAGCACGCGACTGCAGCGGATCGACCCAGATAACCCCGTCGTCTTCGTCGACAGGACGAAACACCGGGGAAAACGCTACGTGCTGCCTCCCGGGACTCCTCTCTCCATGACGGCCATGCTCGTCCACTTCGACGAGTCCGTCTTTCCTCAGCCGCTATCGTTCGCGCCGGATCGTTGGCTTCACCACGCTGACGCCGACAGCCCCGCCCCCGCTCTGGACAAGTATCTGGTCCCCTTCTCGCGCGGCACCAGGCAGTGCATCGGGATGAACCTGGCGTACGCAGAGCTCTACATCACTCTCGCCATGGTCTTTCGCGTGTACGGCAGTCCAGACGTGCGCATGAAGGGCGACCGCGGATACCTGGAGCTCTTTGAGACGGAGTGGGCCAGGGACGTCGAGATCGTGGGTGACGGCGTCACGCCCTTGAATCGGAAGGGGAGCAGGGGGGTCCGGATCAAGGTCAAGTAGGTAGATAATATTGTGTAGTTGCCCATCCCCATCTACCGAAAGAAGGAGGGGGTTTTGACAAGAGATATTGGCACGCAACAAGTTTTCGGGGCAGGCAATGTAAAGGGGGGGAGGAAAATACAGTAAGAGAACCCATGTAAAGGATGACCAGGAGCCAGGCGCAAGTGCCGATAGCATTCCTGTGGCTTGTGCTATCTCAATGTCAACCATATAATGGCAATACCAAGAATGCCCTAAGCGTCCTGTTTAATGGGGGCAATAGAGTTCATGCTCCAGGATCAAGAATTGGGTCCAACAGCTCGGGATCTCAGCCTTGCGTCTCCTCCTTTCCACTGGCAGCAGCCAAATCATCCATCAGCATCGCGGCCTTTCTCCAGGCATCGTGTCTCATGGCGTTCAATTCGTGTTCCTTGTCCGCAATTTTCCCGTGCATCTTTCTTAACTCGGCGTCTTCACCCATCGTCCGCTCCACCTCGGCAATTTCCTTGCGCGCCACTTTCTGCATCTCTTTCGACTTTGTTGCCACCAGTCTCAGCACTGCAGTACACCACTTGCAAGCCTCTCCTTGAAGTTGTGCTTCGCCTGCAGCTGCGGGCGCGATCGAGTTGTAGGGCGTGGGCTCTTGACGGCCAGGGAGGCCTGTATGTATGTGCTGTTCGCGTTGGTCGGAGCTGCAGGAGCGAGTGGCTGGGGTGTTTTCGCAGGACAGAGCTGGTTCAGCCTTGGTGAGGTGGGTGGGATGTTCGATCACTAGCTTGCCGCAGGAAAGGCGACCCCATGGCCGTGGTTCATCGCAGTGTTCCCATTGAGAACTGTTTTTCGGGTTGAAGATGAGGGAGGAGACTGGGTCTTGCTCAGGGTAGGGACAGACTTGTAGTTTGAAACGACACATGGTAATAGAAAGCTGACCGTACGTGAGTGTCTGGAGTCGGCGCCCTAATGGTTCTGAATTTGCAAGACTTGGGAAGGGGACGAGTTGAGATCGAAAAGTGTCGACCTTCTTCTGCTAGAGAAGGGGCGAGGTATTTATACTCCTGGTGAGTCTGAAAAGTGAAGGATCGATTGCTGATGTGAATATTGCTTTGGTCATGCGGTAAAGAAGTTGCTGCGGTTTTGTGACTGGAGGTTTGCCCGCAATATGTTGGGTGAATGGATGGCAGAAGCATGAGCTAGAGAGCGAGAGAAGGATGTCGCAGCCGCTGCAGAGCGCAGTCTCAATGCCGCGATTCTGTTTCCTCTTGACTCCAGAAAAGCGCAACCTCTTCAACCGCGATTGTCTTGGAGAAAAGATCCTATAACAATGAGGGCACACGATACCTTTCTCGCTTTCTCGCTTTCTCATCGAGCGAAATTGGAGCACTTGCGATCGATCTGAGTGACGGCTTGCCTTTTCACAGTTTGTCAGCAGCCATCAAGCAAGTCTTCCCTTTCTCTACCAAGCACTGATCTGGACCTTCTTTGTGCCAGACCTCCACCCCATTTGAATACGACTGAGCCTCTTGGATGACCTTTTCAAATCAAAGACCTCCCGAATCCTCCCCTATTAGCTAGAAAGGACACACTGATCCCAGCAACCGTCAAGTTCCACAGTCACCCAGCAAACAAACCACACAATCATCAACAAACTCCCTGCCTCAAGGGCAGCCGCGAGGACAAACGGCAGCCTGCAGCATTCATCTCCACTCCAAACACCTGAAAGACCAGTCGGAAAACCACTCTGACCGATTATCTGCCGACCAAGTCCCTGCCCTCAGCCTTCAAACTATTGTCTCTTCTTCATCAATGCCGTACCACACCAGACCTCCTGTGCAATACCGAGGCCAGCAAGAATGTGCTACACTATCAAGATCGTCCATTTCGGGTGCATTGACGGGGAGGAGCACGTTGACTATGCGATGATTCGATGCAAGGGCTGGCTGGAGTGGATGATGCTGATGCCAGTCAAGCAGCTGTGTACAGGGATAAAGCAGGTAGAGGACTGGAGGATGACACCCTGCCGCTTCTGCAAGGAGTACATGGAGTCAAGGCGTGCGTTGGAGCGAGTCGGTGGTCGTGCCCGGGCGGTGTCTTTGGACGCAGATAGACCCAAAAAGGCAGTCGTCGACGCCCTATTGTAAGACACTGAGGAACGTCACATTCTGTGACGATAGCGAGATCCAACAACAGGCTTTAAATCAGCCCAGTTGAACAGCGTCCGTTATCCAGTCGTGATCCTCCGATAAGCTCAGCATCGCCTCCGAAACTAACTAACAGGACATGGCAATAATTCACGATCGCGTCCACCGAAAATACACGATATCGTGATGAGCCCAGCGTCGCCTCGTCGGACACCAGCCGTGGCACTGCAACGCTGTCAGCGTTCGCTCAAAATCCATGTCAGTGGTCTGGGTCCAGCGTTCGCTGGCATGGCTTTGGGCATTTCACATCACGTCCAAGAGACAAGTCCTCTTCCCTGGCCACAGTAGCGCCGACAAGACTTCTTACTCGATCATCTACTGAGCCAGTACTGCCTCAATGGAGGGGTTGGTGGTCAGCATCCGGCGTTGAATGTCCCTGGTCCTTTCCACATATTCGTTGACAGATATGTCACGAGGCCAGGACCTTCATGGCGTGATTGTGGAACAATTGCTGTGTGGACTTGCAGATCAGGGTGGTGGTCTGTGTGACTTCTGGACTCAAAGAGCAGGCAATATTCCGGACAAGCTGGAAGGTCATAACGCCGGGGAGGTTTGAAAGGGGTAGAACTTGCGGTCATCTCCCCCCTGAACGGCAGTGCCAGCATAGTAGGGACCGAATCTAGGGCACGTAGGAGCGTCACAGAAACCAGGCCTGTCTCTGACGCGGCGAGGTCCTCCCTAATCGTCCTTAGAACTTCCCTACTGAAGGAGTTCAGCGTCCTCCAGGACATGCGCCGCGATGGTTTCAGCGTCCTTCGAGAGGAGATCTTCTGCATACTGGGCCGGTTCCCGAGCAACTTGTCAGCCCAGATGGAGACAGCGTCCTCGGGAGAGGTCTCGATGACGATGAACCAGCGGTCGCTCTTTGCTAGACACATCGTCCAGGATGTAACCAGTAGGTCCGGTTCCCATAATGTCTCATGGATATCAGCGGCCGGTTTTCATGGAAATTCTAGTCTAGGTCGAGTCTGATGTCTGATGTTTTCATATTCTCTCGCTGATCCAGATGGCTCCTCTGCATCCGTATCGAATGACATCTGTCAGTGGCTGATATGGCTGTGCCTCCTTTGCATGATTTTCAACGGCATAATCCAGATGCTCAAGCTCCTCATCGCGTATTCGCTTAATGTCCTCAATCAAGACCTTCAGTTCAGGATCAAGCTCCTCCCCTCTCTCTTTCAATTCTGTCATCCACTTGAAGAGTTCCCGCACTTGGCCATTGTAGTGATTCCCAATCTCTGTCTCGACTGCTTCGGTACATGCCATGGCAGCTTCTCTTCCCATCATGCCTGTGGTCCATCCCAGTACAGTTGCTGCCACCTGCCAGACTGGATACATTGCCGTTGGGCGGATGCGGTGCTTTGCGAGAAGTTCATTAAAGGTTTTGAAATGTCCGGCTTCTTGGTCATACATATGTTTCATGAGGGGCCGGAGATGTGGGTGGGCTTTGACGACAGGTGGCGTCTGGGCGGTGTAGATGAGAGTAGCAGCAAGCTCCCCAGCCTGGTTTACACGGAGCGCACTGTCGAGAAATCTTCTCTGCTCGTCGGAAAGCACTGTTCTGGGTTGAACGGGCTCTTGAACCGTTTCACAGGAGGTATTTTGGGTCGACATCTGTCGGACTGCAAGTTGTCGAGAGTATAGCAGGCATGACTTCGGGCGTCTGGGAGCGCCAGACAGGAATCTCACACAGCTCCTGACCATCATCTTTGCAACGAGCTGGCCATCACCCGTGTGGATAGCTGGAGACCAGGATCAGCAGCTCTGCATGCGCAGCCTGCAAAGAACTACGGGTCAATAATTGGGGTGACGAGTCATTCTGTTGGAAACTTTGCCGACAGCGTAGTCATGCAATTCCCTAGATGGGCTTGTCGACTACATACTCCATGGAATTCAACAGAGATGCCTCATCATCCGTCCTGTTCTGCGCTTTCATCTCCCGCAACAGGGGTCTTATTCTGATTCTACTCAGCCTGTGTGCCATATGACACATTTAGTTGTCCTCATTTGGGTTTTTTTCGCACTAGACTAGACTTTGTTTAGACGGGTGGCCGACGTCTAACTCTTTCTGCCGGACCTCACAACAATTCTTCCCTAACCAAGGCTTCAAGGAACGACATCTTTTTGCATCGCGAACAGTTTTTCCTCCTCCGATCGCCTCGCTTCACCTTCTTCCTTTGAGCATCCGCACTGAGAACGTGCCTTGCCCTACTATCAGCCAAGTGAACAGTGCTTTACTGCCTCACCATGGCTGACCTGGATGCGGAACTTCTTGCTCTCGCCGGAGGCGACTCCTCCGGTGAAGAGAGCATGCCCTCTTCTCCCAAACAAAAGTCCCCTTCGCCACCACGCTCCAAGAAACAAGCAAGAGAATCACCATCCGCAGACATGGCTCGCAAGGGTGTCGCAAAGGCCGTCAAGCGAGGCAAACGTCGTAAGACTTACTCGGACGATGAAGATGAAGTGTAAGGCTCACCGTCCATCTCAATTTTGCGATCGCTGACGCGCTGGTTTTGCAGCTCTTCTCTCTCCCAACAGTCTGAGTCTGCATCCATGTCCCAGTCTGATTCCGAGGCCGACTTCAACGCTGGCACAGACGACAAACCCATCTTCCCGTACGAGAAACTCTATTACGACGCTGAAGACAAAGCTAGGATCGAAGCAAAGCCTGAAATCGAACGAGAGGAGATTTTGGCACAGCGCAGTGAACAGGTGGAGCGCCACGAACAAGATCTCCAGCTACGTCGCCTTGTCGCCTCACGCGCTCGAGAAGAGGCCAAGAATGCCGCAAAGAACAAGCGCAAGGCCAGCGCCGCAGAACTGGAGGACACCCAGCGAAAGAGCACTCGGCAGCGCACCAAAGTTGGTGGCGGTCGTGTCGGAGAAGCCAGCAGTGCCATCGAAGCCTACAAGCGACAGCGAGAAGAAAAGAGTCTCCGCGAAGAACAGCGAAAGAGGGACGGTTTTGTGAGAAGAGCGGCATCACCACGAGATGATTACAGCGACGCAGATGCAGAGGGGGAGAGCGACAATGACTACGACGACCGGAAGTTTAAGAGACGAACTCCCACGCCACCAAAAGACGAGCCTATCGCTGAACTTGCCGACATCCAGAGAGCCCGTGTTGGTCGTGACAACTTCGCCCAAGTCTGTTACACCCCTGGTTTTCAAGATACCATCACAGACTGCTATGCCCGCGTTTGCCTTGGTCCTGGTCGTAATCCTGGCGTGAACGAATATCGTCTCTGCTTGATCAAGGGATTCGCCACAGGCAAGCCATACGCCATGATCGGATCTAATGGCAGACCTTTTCCAGTCGACATGTACATCGTTGCAGCGCACGGCAAAGCGGAGAGACCATGGTCATTCCTTGAATGTTCCATGTCCAAGTTCACCGACGACGAGTGGCGACGATACCGATCTGTCATGGCTAATGAAGACTGCAAGATGCCTACTAGGGCCTTCATCAATTCCAAGCTCGATCAAATCAACCGACTGATTAACCATCGTTTCACCGAGGCTGAGATTTCGCAAAAGATCAAAGCCCAGAACGACCTCACTGAAAGGATCACCCGAAGCCAAGAGAAGGAGGATCTCAAGGCGAGAATCGCTGAAGCTCGCGCCGACGGGAAGTATGATCTAGCCGAAGAATTAGAGAATCAGCTTGCAGCCATCGTGCCCATGAAACTGGCTTTCGGTACGAGCTTGACCAAACAAGATACTGCCTACGTCAATCCCGAACAGGAACGACTTGCAGAACTCAATCGCCGCAATCAGAGACTGAATGCCGAGAATGTTCGGAAAGCGCAACTTGCGGAGATGAGAGCACGCAAGGCGAAGAAGACTCTTGCTCCGGGCGTGGACGAATTGTTCGAGGGCGGAAGTGACATCAGTCGTGCGAATACACCGGTCAATGGCATGGGGACGCCGAAGCTTGCCGCATCAGCAGGCATTTCGCGAACCGCATCACCCAATCCGCTCTCGCTTGCTAATGGAACTCCCCGGAATGCAACGCCCGTCTCTTCCAGCACCCTGAAGCCTGTGGTTCTACAACAGCAGAAGAAGAACGGCCTGCCTACCATTCGCAAGTCGGCAACGGATGATGAGATTATTGCTAGCATGGATTTGGGGATTGACATTGACATTGACATCTAAGATCGATGTGAGCCAGTCAGATGAATGGGCGCCGAGCCTGCTGAGATAGCCAGACAGTTCCAGTGCATTGGGTCGGCAAGGCCGTGTTTGGTTATCCGAACAGCCAGAGTGGGGTCTTAAGCGCATTGGGACTGTCTTGTTCTCGAAACTTGTGCCGAGTATTAGGATAAGGTCGAAAACCGAAAATCGAAAACCGAGAAGACGGTCCAGGAGATGAGCATGCGCTCTTCTACCAATTGTACCAAAAAAAATACATGGGCCTGGGGGTTTGCGGATTCTCGCTGGACACAGACGGCTCGCCATCTCTTGAGAGCCGCAAAGAGCCAAACTGTGAATCCATGAAATGAAAATGGTCACAAATATTCCCTGGCTGTACTCTCTGTTCTAACTTCTGCTGCAGTCTTTACCATCACTGACTTCTCACAATGCTTCAGGCGCGGTTCATTTTCAGTCTCCTTTACCCCTGACCACAATTTATATTTACGACATCTACGCCCGCCCGCTTTTGCCTTCATTTTGCAGTCAGCCTATGCCGCTACCTGCAGGAGTCTTTGCCCACAATAACCTCAAGCCATCCTTGCCGTCTTCTCAATTCATAGCCCGTTGTCCCTTACTCTGCTCACCTCATTGTCTGCAGAGAATATCCCGCCATAGCACATAACCCGGCCATTGGATGAGGCATGTATCTTCTCTGCCGTCGTCAGATTGGTAAGTCATGACCTCTTGTTGCCTATTTTCTATTTCTGACTTCTTAGCCGCCCCTATCTAGGCCTATAGGGCCGTGTTTCGGTTCCGAAACGAGCCCCCCGGCCTTCGACCTTGTGCCCTATATGCAGTGGTGTGCCTGTGACCTCTCTTTGATTTTGTTCTTCGGTCTTCTTGGAATCTCGTCGAAGCTCACGCAGCCTGATGCTCGGAATCAATTTAGCTGATCGACACCATCTATGCGCCATTCTTCATTCTGGACCTGCTTTGTCCCGTTGTTGTTTCGAGAGCCTGTGATCTCTTGGCAATCATTGCAAGAATCCTAATACCTGTAATTGATGACGAGCACCTTGCTTTCGAGTGTCTTCGGCTACCTTGCAATCTTGGGCTGATTGCGCCATCGCCATTGGCATTCTTGACTTCAATCAGGGCTCTCCTAGCTCCTAAGCGCTGGCTGTTAGCCAGCACAGTTCAGTGAGCAATTCGCAAAGCACGGAAACAACTGACATTCCTAAGCTGACTTGAACCTTCTTGCGCTGTGTTGGCTAGAGTTTTCGTGGAGTCATCGATATCGTTCACTAAAGATACACCCCACGACATATCTTGCAAACATGTGCCTCTTCCATATTCTCAACTGCTCCGCACACAACGCAAATACTCTGCGCCGCGTTCTCACCTGGCCCTCTCGCGAGATCATCGCCGCAGGCTTGGTCCGGTGCAAGTGGTACGAAGCAATCACGAGAGGCTGTCTGGATCCTCAGACACGCTCGAAGTTCGAGGACCCAGATGTCGTCTGTCCCTACGTGGTGGTGCGCCATGACGAAATCCCCCTTCCCGAGGATGTAATCAAAGGCATTGTGGAAGCCGTGTACCTGGAATGCGTCCCCGACCACGGCTGCGCAGACTGCGAGGAGACTATTTTCAGCCATGAGATGTTGGGCCCGCTCCCGACAAAGGCAGAGAAACTGGATTATCTCCGCGCAGTAGGCTGGGTTGGATCGTCAGCAATTGCCGAGGCCAAAGCTGCCTCTCAAGCTAGAAGTATTGCTGGACCAAGCGCTGCTCAGATAGCCGGTGAGGAGGCACACCAGGCACCGGGCGCGAAGCGGAAAAATGACAATGAAAAAGTTGCCGAATCAAAGGGACATGACGATCATGCTCATATCGTCGAAGCGAGGCCAGCAAAGAACGCCCGCAAGGGAAGTTGGCAGCATAGTGACGTCCAAGACGAAGACCGAACCGTTAGTCCATCCCCTACAGAGCCTTCAAAGGTGCCGCCTCGCAAGCCCACCGCTCTACAACTCGTGAATCCCCTGGTGGGGGAAAACGTCCCGCCAGCTTTGCGGAAGCGATCAAGGTCTTCCTCCCCGGCGTTGTCTAGCACCCCTGCCGGCAATGGAAGGAACTTGAGCGATGCAGCCTTACATGGCCTCATTGAAAATTTTCGCCCGCCGAGTCAGCGACACTCAAGAAACAGGAATGAGGATGCACTGCAGAGACGGAGGGAGGAGCTCGGCATCGCGATGGCGACGCACTTGAGCATAGAAGCACAGCGTTCACGCGAGCCGGTTCTTCCAGACAACAATTGCAGCTCCATAAAGTCCGAGAAAGATAGCAAGGAGAAGAATGCGCGCGCCATGAGCCCACCCGAGTCGAATCTGATTGATCTGACAAAGAGTCCAATCGTTGAACCGTCGGGATCCCAAACCGAACCAGCAGAAGCACGGTCAACATCGTGGGAAAACAGGGAGGAAGTCATCAGAGAGCGTGTCCGCGACGCCTTTGACCGTCTAGACTCAGCAGCTCAGCAAAAAGACCCTGCCGCGCACGCCACCGAGGCTGAAGGCGGCGAATTCGGGGCAGAAGTCCTGCGCGGCGTGAGAGACGGCTCCTTTCAGCACGCGGTGGCAGAAATCTCCCGCAAGCACTGGGACCCGGATGCGCCGCCCTTGAGCTCTTCGAAAGCGGGCGGCTCAAAGGGGCAAACAGAGGTGCTCCTGGACAGCGTCCGAATCCTCCGCCACGAGAAGGCTGCCTTCCTCGACCGCATCGCCGGCTTGCTGGAGGAGAAGGCGGCTGCGATGGAGAGGGAGGCGGCCTTGATACGAAGAGTCGTCGAGCTAGAGGGGAGGACAAGACATGCTAATTACGCCAGCGAGAAAGAGAAGGACAACCAACGGATAATGCTGCCACCATCGCCTCGGGCATCATCGTAAGCAGAGGGGGGGGAAGCCAGAACTGAGCGGTAAACACGGAATGCCGTTACCTGTGTTACTGGACAGGCAACTTTTTCTCTGTCTGTTTTTACTATTATCACGATTTCAGCCTCTGGCACCGATAGCTCAAGGCGGACCGCAGGGTGCTAAAACCGCAGGACATCACGAGCTAAAGAAGTGCACAACTGCTTCTTTTTTCTTTATTTGGACAGGCACTGTCCTGCCCTCGATATTGCAGCTAGGCAAGGATCGCTCGAAACAGGTCAACATGCAACATCCAAATAGAATCATCACCACGTCGATTCCTAGAGCTGCAGTCTACTGGAGTTTTCTGCAATTTTTAGGTGCGAAGACGTTGCGGATGAAACTGCTGATGTTCACGTCTCCGTCTTGTTTTCTGGGGACGGGGACGAGGACAAGGACATCGATCCTGGATGCAGGAGACCTACGTGGGATTTGAGCTGTATCCTGCAGCCCAGGGTCAAGACAGGAGTAAGACAGAATGCAGGGGAAGAATGAAACGAGAAAGTACAGGCTGAGATGGATGGAGGAACAAAAGAGGAGGTGGACGAGAGAAAGCCGCCGCGTGTTCTCAAAGCATATGACAGAGAGAGAGAGAGAGAGCTGGCAAGCATCTTACAAGTGCATTCTCGAGAAGGATGGTGCCCCCTTTTCTCCCTACCCCTTCTCGCACAAGTTTGAGCTTAAAGGAGCTGAGCATTCATCAACCATCATGATCGTATTCTGTTTCATTCTCCTCGTCCCTGATATATGGGCCCTGCGAGCCGCCTTCAGTTCTGGCACCTACTTTCCTCTGATGGAGTAAGAGGAGGGGCCAGGCAAGCAGTGCAGACTGACGATTATCAGGCGGATCCGATGATTGCTTTGGAGCTGGTTTCAAAGGAAAACCCACAATATCTCGAGGTGGACGCAGAGGAAATGAGTCTGAGACTAGGCGTGAAGCCTTCATTTTGCTGTCTAACAGGTGCCAGACCAGACATCTGCAGGTTTGCGAGAGCCGGGGGATAGTAATGCTGCCATAGGCCACTACTCAACGCCGTTCCTGCGGTGACTGAGTGATGGAAGGGCCAAAGGAGGGAGGCCAGACTCCGGGCCCGGTTCGCTTCACAGTACGGAGAGTCCATCGAAGCTGTGGCACGGAACGAACTTTGCAACTCTCATCACATGCCGTACTCCGTTCTCAAGATCCCGCTGATGTCTGGTAAGAGGCGAAGGGTGTCTATGTCCCGTTGTGTCTGGCCGACCAAGGCGAATTGGGCGTTTCCCCGTTTACCTCTTCAGCCTCGGTCACGGACATACCGGTAGAGACAGAAGGAATTGGGGCCACCAAACTAGAAGGTTCCTCTGCCGTACGCGGTGCCCGTAGCTCGTAGGCAACAACATCGGCTGCGTGAAAGCGCCTTTGAAGATGTCCTTGGTCAGGTCAGATTTTCTTACCTGTTCAAGGGTCTTGAAAGCGCGTTGGTCTTAGGCCGCCCCCCGACCTCCCAGCCTCTCCGATTTCGAGCTATAGCCTGATGATGTGCGTGTTGAACGCATTCAATGAGTCATGGGCGCAAAAGGCAACTTACTGAGGAGCGGGCTGTGGCCACCCCCGATGTCTCCTGATCTTCTAACTTCGAGTAAATGAAAGACACAGGCTCTGCTGCCTTGTCGTCCGATCCGGACACGTCCATCAATGTTCGGCGCCGGCAAGCGAAGAGTCGACCCTTGTTCGCTTCGTTCTCTCCGTGTCCGAGCACGTGGCGCTGATGGAGCCTGGCCTGGCCTATGTGCTAGACTCTTTGAGGCCAGAGCAGGGGGGCAGTGAAAAAAGGACAGGCTCGAAGGTAAAAGTCCCTTGCGTTCCTTGAGAAATCCTGCGAGGGGAGTTTAGTTAGTTTTAGTTACTCGCAATGACACGGAGTAATCGGAATCGAGGAGGAGAAGAGAAGAGTTGGTGGAGGGGCCGCTATTGCGTGATTCCGCCATCGGAGACGGGATAGTTTTCTACACGGGCCCAGCTCCATATGGAAAGAAAGGGCCAAAAGACATAGGAGAGGAAAGTAAAAGAGGAAAATATGAGTCTGACGGCGTTGCCTGATCTGCGGGAATCAACAGGTTGGACTCCCTTACTATTACCTCGTACCATGGCGACATATAGAACAGAAATTTTTGCTAAATTCAACAACCAGAAAAGGGGGCGGCTGCAACAAGTCCTAGATAGTCATGCCATGCCATGCCATGCCCTGGGGGCTGCTCGTTCAAGATGCTGCCTACGTACATGATGGGAGCCAGGAGGTCCGATAATAGTAGTGATTAATGGGGATGCAGGTACATACATACTACCATCAATGGGTGCTGCTGTTCCTGTAGTTGCAGCAGGTCGGATGCCGAAGCGCCGTTGGCCGGTTTATGTAAGGGAAGGATCCTAGGAAGGGCTTGGGAAGGCTAATAGTGGCTGCAAACATACTAGGTATGAGAACCATGTACTCCGTATGGGCCGACTAATCCCCCCCTATAGTAAACTAAGAAGGACCATCAAAACCTTCCTTTTGGCAGCAAGGGTTGAAGGGGCCACGACTTGCACCTTTCGGCACGCAGGAATGGCTCTGAAGGCCCATCGAGAGTGATCCTCCTCCCTCGGGACCTACAAATTCAGTAGTCCATATTTTGAGGGCGGAAAGGAAGAAAAACAGATGGATTGAACAGGGGGCGAGGGAGAAATCAGGCTGAGGCAGTTTGAAGGAGCAAAAAGAACATCCCCTCCCCGACATGGATGGGGGAAAGAAGAAGTCGCGATAAGAGGGGCACGTGGAATTCCAGAGTACAGACGAGGTACAGAGCACTGAGCGCGCTGTAAGGCCAAACGGCGATGCTCCTGGCGCCTGAGCCTGCATAGTAGTGGATCACAATCCACACCCATCGCGTTACTTTGCTCTTGTGGTATGTTCGAGTAGACAGACTGCTGTGCGTTCTAGAGAAGGTGGGTATCTTGTGCGGGTGGAAAGAAAGAGTTGGAAGGCATTGAATCCCTCTGCCATCCTAGGCCCCTCGTAGAAGCGCGTGCCGTCTGGGCTGGGAACGAGGCAGGGACGGAGGGACCGTCTCTCTTGATTGCCAATACCTTCACACAGTATCTCATGTGGGATTCCGCCCTCGATCGACAAAGGATTCAGATTCACCGAGGAAGCAGACTTCGTCGCCGAGATGGCAACAGATAGCTCTGTCGACCGATTGAAGAAGGTGGCATCTAGTCCCCACATCAAGAGACAAATACCGCTCCGTCCAAACACGCTCCCTGGGATTGTCCTCGGCAGCAACGTTTGACGTAGGAGCAAATTGCCGTGTGTATGCATGTTGTAAGCACCTAAAACAAACGGCAGCATGCAGAGAGGCAGCATGGCGTTGCAGCTTGCATCAAGGCTTCATACCGTTCTAGGTAGGAAAATTAGGATGTCTCTGACTTGGGATGTTAAGGAGGCAACCTCGAAGACACGGAGGCCGAAGTGGCATACACCATTCAATCTGCTTGAGTTGTAGCTGCTGGGAGTGGCCGGAACATGGAACTAAAGGCAGGGTACTCGGTATAGTAGTAGCCGATAAACGTAGTGGCTGCATATTGAAGGGGGGACATTGGGAAAGCGATCTTGGGGCGAGACAGCTTAAAAAAAAAAGCGAAAGAGAAGCTTTTCCACATGTGGTGTTGCATGATACGACCCACGAAGCACGATTTGCCAGTTTTCCTTCTTGACAAGAAATCTATGCGATGGAAAGCACGTGTGAGAAGCACTGGTAGGTGTGTCAAGGTGCAGTCCTGAGTTGCAGGTCGTATCGCTCGCAAAAGAAAGTTGTTGCTGATGTCAACAATGGCAATTCTTTCCTTATGCCATGCTAGGCCGTGGAAATGGAATCCGAGGGATCTGGATAGAAGCCCTAGCCTCCTGGGGGGCTAGCTTTGAGTGCCCTTCGAGCTCCAGCGAAGATCGAGCAACATCGTGTCGAGGCGAATGGCGCCGGGCGTCTCGGCGTGTCCTATGGTACTGGGTACATAGTCTGTGTGACGCGACTGATCCCAAGCTGAATGGGCGGCACAGCAACAGCACGTCATAGAATGCTCAAAGTCGTCTAGCGGACCTGGCCGATCTCGAATCGATCAACACCCCTCTACCTTCAGTAGGTATCCGAACCGCCTGAGCATTAAAGACGCTCCATTTGCAGGTGCTAAAGTGCTGCCAAAGGCTTCGGAAAGATTCCAGAGTGCGATCAAGGAAGACTTAGAAGGAAAATACTCGTAGAGGTAATAATGATGTGCTCGCTGTTTTGCCGGCACGCAAGTTGATTCCACCAGGGAAAAGGTGGAATAGGCAATGGATCGGCTTCTGCAACAGATTTCCACTGTGGAGTCCAAGCATCGACACCTACATACCCTCTGTAGAAAGGACGCCCCCGCAGATAGTGGATGGAATGAAGAGCATTGGATGGGCGGAACGGCGCTCGTTCGGCAGATGTTGTATCGTCATTGTTTCATTGAGGCGTGCTCCTTGGTTAGGGATGATATATCCGTTGTAGTATTGGAAATGTGGGCGATACTCTCCTCTTCGTGATAGATCGTCGTGACCATCGCACTCCGTATGCTACAACCAACCGAACTAGGCACACCAGGGCCGGACCCGAAACCCAACTGGACATCCGGTTCGGTTCGATGCAGGACGATTTTGCTTGTCCTTCGACTTGCTCTTTGTTATGCGTACAAGTGTGTATCTCTTGTATTTTACCATGTCGTCCCCAACGTGGGATTGATATTGTAGCAGCGCCATACCACAACTCGACAAAGTTGCGGCTGCAAGGTGACCGGTCCTGGTCCTGGTCCTCGTCGAATGCACCAGTTCGATTCTGGCCACATGATCAGTCCCAAACGCATTCAGGAATGCCATGTAGTGAGGCGGTCCGTAGGGCAAGCAAAGACAGTTAGTTGTACACCTTCCTCATGTGTCCCAACTGTCTATGGAGATCACCTCAAGACTGATGGCTGCCAGCGCACGAGACCGTTACGTCGATTACTGCATGATTGCAAAGACTGGACATGAATTCCGGTGCGCAGCAGGACCGGTGGCAGACATCGTTACACCCCAGCAAACCACTCGCATACTTAGTAGCCACTGCATGTAATTCAGTGCATACGCTTCTGGTGTCCGTCGAATCTCCGTCGGACGCAACATCTAGATAGAATAGTCGTGTTGGACGCGCAACACTGCTGAGGCTGATCGCTCGGTCGAACATGTTTTGTCTCGCCGACTCTGCCTCCAGCAGGGCACTTGGCTTACAGCTTTCCAATATATCCAGCCATCAAATTTCTCACAGCAAATAATTCGGAACAGCAGATCATAACAGTGAGGGATCCCGAACAGGGATACTTTGCAATAATGAGGATTTATCGGGGCCTGGCAATTTGCCTGAGATCCCCTGCACCAGGTAGACATCCCGGCATGGTCCTCTTGGGCCCTCATAGCCGAAATTGTGCTTGGTCTCGGCGAGCAGGCTTCCCCAGAATTTCTGGACGCCACGACTGTAACTGGTGGCTGCGCTAAGGCGCGTTGCCTCCATTGGGCGTTGTTTCAAGACGGCGCCTTTTCGCCGTTTCGCCGACGCCAATCTGTTGTTTATCAACTGCCGCCCACAGACGAGACCCGAGGTGCGCCAAACGAAGGCGGGGGATGTCGCTGCCATGGAAGAGAGGGCCGAATGCAGAGTCTTGGCTTGTTCTAAAGTCGTGCTTGGAGTCGTCATCACTGCACCGCTTTGAGATGACAGCAGATGGGAGTCTCGGGCGACCGTGAGTAATTGTAGACACGCGTGACCCAAGTGTGGCAAGACCAAAGAGTTTTTTTGCTCGTCTGCGAGAAATAGGTGCGAATCTACGGAGCACTACTGGGTACTCGCTGTTCTGCTGCGGACTTAGGTGAGGGCACATCCGCATCTGCCCGTGGACCGGTGACGTGGAGAGTGGTATCCTTCCAATTCTCCAGAATTGGATGATCCATCATACTAGGCATCTCTGTCCTCCAGTTGGACGCGAGTATGCATCCGGGCATGTACCTATGGGGAGGCGCTATCACGACCAAAATGACTGAGTAGATTCAATCAGAGCGAGTCATCTGGTCGACTTATGCGCCACAGACCAGCGGCAGGTCACCGTCAAGGAAGCAATTGTGCGACGAAATAGTCTCCAGCCATGGCGAATTGCGCAAACACTGGGAACTTCCGGAGTAATTCGTCCACCTCGGCACCAGGCATTGAAAATCCCAAGACCGCCAAGAGGGGGAAGCCACAGAACACATCATCAGAGAAGTGGTGGTGGTGATGGTGGTGGCGGCTGGCCGCTGCATAGGGCACTCGGTACCCAGTACACTGGGCAAAACTGGGTTACTTGTACCGAATAACAAGAAGCGAGAGAAAGTTGGGGCTTCTACGTACCTCGTACTGGGTAGAGCAGCCCTGAACAGAGCGCTCCTGGATGTTTGGCTGGTGCGACTGGTGCCGCTGGAGGGAGCTGGAGGGAGCTGGAGGCAGTTTGTGCAAAGGGAAAAAAAAACAGGTCGGCAGGTCGGAGGTCGGCGAAAGGCAGGACCGATATACCGACGCTAAAAACCTTAATCTGGGGACACCTCGAAGCTGAAGCAGCCAATTACAGCCGCCGCACACAACATTTCACTGTGTACTGGGTACCTCGTAGGAGGATGTAGCTCGTGCTGCGACGATGTACTTGGTACCTCGTACCTCGTTCCAAGCATATTGGAGGACGCGGCGATCAACACCTCTAACCTGGTGCTCGTTTCACTTGCTCAAACACCACTCGACAACCTTGTCGACGAGATGCACATCAGTCTCTTCCTTGTTCTGGAAACAAGCACGAACAAGGCACGGACAAGTCGCTACCTGGGTACGGAAGTCCTGCAACTGTAAGTATTATCGAGCATTCTGAGACCAATGTCCGTAAAGCGCATCTTGTTATGCTACTTTTTATGGTTGCGTACCAAGGACACCATGGCCTGATGACCCTCCGTGACTTCTAGAGTAAGGACCGTGGCAGATTGGTGATGCCTGTCTACGAAGGTCCGCCCCAGATTACAGAATGTACTGTACGGAGCACTGTAGCCCGAACCACCCAATCGCGGCTACCAGCCGCTAATCTCGGCCTCACTGACGCCATCAAACAGTCTTTACAAGCACCTAGGCACATACGAATAGGTGGAGATGCATACGGAGTACGGGCGCTTCTCATGGCACTCAGAACAGTAGCTACTACTTGGTACAGTACCGGGTACCCAGTACAGCCCAAGTCGCCACGATGCGCAGTGAGTGCATCATTGGGCTCGGATGGACTGTCTTTGTTCAGAGGCACCTGCAGCGCGCATCACCCGGGAGTTTGCGCATTTTGCTGCTGATCAAATTGCCGATCGGCGAGCCCTTGAGGCTTTTCAGGGCACTGGAAAGCCACGAGGAGGGCCAAAAGCAGCGCCTCCACCAGCTTCTGTCATTTGAACCGCTTTGGACAGGCATGACGCTTGGGCTCAGGTCTGTCGCAACCAGCCCCAGGCGCGGAGTGTCCAGCTACACAATCGATTGGCATCTGAGGGGGAGACGAGTCATCAGCCATTCTTTGTGAGCGGACGGTTGCTGAGTCGCTCACCGAATCGGCATGTACCAGTAGGAGCGAAAGAGTGCAGCGGCTGACTGGGCTGAAGGCAACCCAGTTCATGACTTGTTGCAGCATGCGAGGTGGGAGAGCCGTGACTCGGCGAGGGCTGTTCTTTGGCGCTGGGTAAGAAAGACGGGACTAGGCCGTGCAGGCCCTAGGGATGCTGCGGCACGACGGGGTGTGCGTACCTGCCATCCTGGGCGTTGACGCATCAACAAGGGGGCTTTCACTTTGAGCCGAGCATTTGGAAAGTTTGTGCTCTGGGCCAGGGGGGGAGCAAGGATGGAACAACAGGTGACCAGGGTCACGACGCACAGTGTGGAACCACGGCGACTGTGGGTTCCGTGTCACCTGGGTTCAAGTCGGTGGAAACTGGAAACGCCAGGGCCGTTGGCTGGCTGCGTCAAACTGGGAGGAGGAATGCTCGAGACTTGGGCTGGCGCTCGCCACAGGCGATGCCATGATCCAGTGCTCTCTCCATCTGCCAGATGCGCAGTCCCATGGGCTACCAGGCCGCGCAAACAACTGTGGCGACCCTTGACCCTGCCCATCAAACCCCAAAACGGTTGCTTCGGTAAACTCCCCCGTTTCAGTCCCAGCATAGATATACTTCATCTACCGCCCTTCATGTCCCTTACCCAGAGTCTCTTATACACACATCCGCCCATCCACCCATCCACCCACCCACACGTTCCTTTCCATATACCAAGAGCGGCAAATATTGTTGCATTGACAAAGAATTACAAAATCCTTTGTCTACCACTTTGCTGATTATTCATATTCGACACCCACCATCATCACCATCATCACCATCACCGAAGCACGCTGACTGTATTCTGCTGAGCGAACGCATTACCCAAATACTGCGTATACCCAAACCAGATACGGCTCACACCTGTTGTCCTCTCGACCCTCTATATTAGTCGCCATCTGTCCCTGACACATCTAGCGACAATGGCAGACTACGACTACCCCCAATCCCCGACCATGTCACAAGACAGACATATGGGCTCGATGGCCGCAGCCCTCAGATCGAGGTTGGAAGACCTGCCTCAATTGAATATGGCAAACTTAGGCACACACTGGAAACGCACATCTCTTGAATGTCCCAATTCCGCATCCTCATCTCGTTCTGCATATTCATTCAGCTCCCGACTGTCGGAAGATACCGACGCTACAGACCTCACTGTCACACCTACAGCCCGCTCACGCGCAAGCACGTTTGACAACATGGAGCATATGCCTCCGCCTATCATCCCGGCAATCCCATGCAAGCCGCCTCTGAGAGTCGTCCTTGGTACAGCCTCAGTAGGCTCACACTTGTCACCGCTGGCAAAAATCACCACCGTCGAGGACGCTCAGAAGTTTGTCAACCTGTTCCGTTCAAGAGGCTATGCGGATATCGACACCGCCAGAGCATACCCAGTTGGTCGTGGTGGCTCTTGCGAGAAGCTTTTGGGCGAAGAAGCACTCCGACTATCCAAATGGGCCAACGTTTCCACCAAGGTCTCAAGTTTCATGCCCGGGTCCCACCGAGCCAAGAATATTGCTTTGAGCATCGACAGGTCACTGGAAGCACTGAACACCGACACCGTAGACGTCATGTATCTGCATGCTCCTGACCGAGCGACCCCATTCAAGGAGACCTGCGAGGCCATGGACAAGGCCTACCGCGAAGGCAAGTTTGAACGCTTTGGTCTCTCTAACTACTCTGTCGAGGAAGTCGAAGAGATCGTACGCATCTGCGAAGAGAACGGCTATGTGAAGCCTTCCGTCTACCAGGGGCAATACAACCCCATATGCCGAGGTGGCGAGGAACGCTTGTTTGAGGTCCTTCGCGAGCACAACATTGCATTTTACGCTTACAGCCCTTCTGCATGTGGCTTTTTCTCCAACAAAGTTTCACGGGCGTCGACAAGGGACAAGAACAGCCGATGGAACATCGCCTCACCTCTGGGTGCCAAATATGCCGGCGATTACTTCCAGGACCCGCTCTTTGCCGCCGCCGAAATTGTTCGTCAACAGGCAAGAAAATTCGGTATCAGTGGTCACGCTGCCGCCCTTCGATGGACGACCTGGCATTCTCAACTCGGTGCCGAGTACGGCGACGCTGTCATCGTTGGCGCCTCCAAGCTTTCACAACTAAAAGAAAATATGGACATCCTTGAGCAAGGGCCCCTCCCCGAGCCTCTTGTCGAGACGTTGAACAGTGTCTGGGAAGATGTCCGCGCTCTCGAAAAGGGTCCCCGCTTTTCCTTTGTCTAACTGTATCACGACTTTGAAAGGCTACGAAACAGACATGGCAAATTTACGGAATACATGGAGAAATGGGTGTGGTATACGGCGTTGCTTTTTCGGAACACAAAAACTCCCCGGTTCAGGGGTCCTTGTTCCTCTCTCGGAAAGAATTTTAACTTTCTATCATGATCCCTCAAGTGCTGAGTTGGATCTGTTGTCTTTGTTGTTGCAAACGTCGTTCCTTTGGAACGTTTTTTGATTGGATATGTTACCTTTGATGTGTGATGATACCCAATGCAGCTGTATGTTATTCTGAGAAACAGCATGGAAAATGTCTCTACCGGTCTCTGGAAGACGCAGGCTATCGATTATGGGGGTCGAGCTTACGGGCTCCTAAAACCCATGTGAGACCCCAAGACGATCTGGAAGGTGTATCAAAATATAAGATACGCCCACGTCTAAGTAGCAAAATGGAAAAATCTATTGGATCTCTGCAATTCACCATCCTTCTTCCAAAAATGGCTGTCTTTGTAATTCTTCCACCCCCAGCCTTTTCTGATGCAAGTGCTTACCATGCACGGCTCGCATAACAATGGGGGAAGGACGGTTGGTTTCTTTTCGAACGCGCTCGACTTCTTTTGCAGCGGATTCATATTGGCCAACTTCACTTTAGTCGCGGCGGCTGACTTGCTAACCCTCCCAAAACGCAGCAAATGGAACCTCCACCTGGACACGGCATGGCTAGCTTCTGTCGACATGTACTGTAAGGTGTACCTGTGCCACAAAAGAACTCATCCATTGGCTTCCAATCGCCCACCATGGTAGCCGACTTTGATTGGGGCTGTTTTCTTGCAGGCAAACCGTGAGCAAATCAGTTCCACCTGGTGTGGGCTTCCATCCACACTCTCGATGCGCCCAGTTGCATACCACGAGGGCAAGCTGGGAGCAACCAGTGCCGGAGAGAACAAGGCGACACCTACTTACCCAAACCAGGAAGTAAGATTTCTCTCTCGCCTGGTGTCTTTCTATCCCCCCCATAGTAAAAGGTCCTCGTTTAAACACGGCAGGTCAGAAGGTCAACCATCCAGCTTGGGGACCAAAGGGGGCAACCGATATTCCAAGATCGTGAGGGGTTGGATTTCCAAATGGCCGGTTTCGCACCGGAGCCCTTCTCTGGCTCAAGTTGGTGAAAGAAGGGCGTCGAAAATTTTTCAGAGGGCTTGCCAACCTTCTCGAGGCGGATCGCGGGGCAACAACCGCTGGAGAAGGTCTCTTTGAGTCTCCAGCGGTCCAGTGGCAGCGTGAGGAAGCCCACCCTTTCTTGCCTTCCAGCAGAATCCTTCGTATATCGAACAGGAAGTGATTTGCAGGCTGGCCTCCACATTGTCGACCAGGCCTCTTGCATCGACATTATCGTGCCAGACATCCGAACTTGGCTCCCACAATGGTGGTTATGATCAGGGATTAGGCCTCCCCTGGCCTCCCAACAAGAGGGAACGAATCTGCTCGTGTGACGAAGACTCCCGGACACCAGACACCAGACTTCATTTGACATTCCCCTCACACAATCCCTCGACCACTCGATCAGAAGCCTGACCTCTAAGCGGAGGAGGCAAATAATGACGCTGAGGAGCAGAGCGTTTGACTGGTCAGCAGACGACCTTTAGCAGAGCAACTTCGGGGTTCGACGTTGGGATGCCTTTGGCTCTTCGGCAGCCTCATTTGTCAATGTCGTGCCTACAACTGAGGGATGCTCTCCAAGACGCCGAATCGCCCAGCAGCTAACCATCACAGCCAAGGAAGGGATCGCGTAGACTCGACTCCGCCCCATCCACGTGGTTGCCTTGTTGTGCCGTCTTCTCCTGACAGCGACTTTTTCTCCATTCGGCGAGGGGATCCTTGACCTAAACCTTGGAAGGGTTCTGGGCTGGATCACTGGGAAGTTTCAGACTCCCTCTTCGGGGCCGACGAGGGCTGGCCCAGCGCCAGCACCTGGTGCCAAACCTCCGGGTAAACACCAAGGTTCTCGCACAAAATGTACGAGTACCGAGTCCCTTGTAATGTGGAGAATAGGGCTGAGCCTTCGCTTACAAAATCGGGCACGGTGCCACCGGTGCCAAAGCGCTCACCACTGCGTTCCACCTCTGAGTGGTTGCTTTGAGCATTCAGCAGCTAGAGCGGCAAAGCCGAACAACAAGCCACAAACCTCGTGAGTTCGTCAACCATCTCCTTTTTCAGCACTTCCCCGATGTTTAGCGCTCAGAGGGGCTTCCCGACGTGCGGACGAGGTATCAAAGTGGGCGCTCGCTTCAGGAGGTGACAGGGATGCCGCGCTGCCCCCTATCAAATTGGATTTGGATTTTTGTGGTGCTCCTATCTCTGGATTCTCTTGCATTCAAATTGTCACTCTTGCATGAGTTGTCTCGCAGACACGAGGCACGCTCCCAAGGATGCCGTTTGCTGTGGGCAGAAGAAGTAAGGGGCAAAAGGTGGCTGACTGAGTGGTGCCCATTGCCCCTTCTGCCCCTCGCATCCCCGTCACTATCGCTATCGATACCGCTATCGATACCACTATCGATAGGCGAGAACCTCGAAGCGAGTGGAACTTCCGTCTTATCGATTGCTGTCGTGATGCGTGGCGCAAGCCCCCAACATCCAATGTCCATCATCAACATCATTTGTTCCGTTCAGCCTGTTCGTGCTGTTGACGCGTTCGTTGACCCCCTTTTCCCATGTGATGACCGCTTCTCCTCCGCAGATTCTGAGACACTTCATGCAACAGCTAAAATCTGAGAAAAAAACCAAGAAACTAATGGTGTAGAAGGACCGATTTCGCTTCCATGCTGACTGCCTGGATGTAGGAACCCGTGCTAGTTGGTGAGATTCCAAAGAGCAGCGGCGTCAACTGGCACATGCTCTGCCTGAGGTTCATCGGCCTTATGATGACACGCACTGATGGTGCTGAATCCTTCCAGGCTGAGGTCAGGAGTAATCTTCTCCCCCCCCCCTTTGAGAGCATCGAACATGTCTTTGCCAATGGCAGGGCACACGTATACGCCATCGCTCACCAGTATACGTGGTGTACTATTGCTGCGTGTCTCATTCACACACCATGTCACCTGCACATCTGAGTGGAAATGGATATGTGGAAAAGTGCATCTAGGCGTTATTCCAACCGCAAATTGCCCATCAACCGTGGCGAAGGAGCTCTTAGAATCTCGGGAGGACTCGACCAGCCCTCTCACTTCCATGGGTCGCATTCGTTCTGCGCCCCTGGTTCGTCCAATGGTTGCTCACGTCGCATGAAGTATTGGAGGGGATATCAGGTATTTCCAAAAGCGGTATACACGATATTCCTGGCGCGGGACTCAAACCATGGCGATCTCATAACGTTTGCCCCAGATTATTTGTAACAATCCCAGACGGAACGCTGTCGCTGAACAAACAATTCTCCGAAAACGCCCCATTCGTTGCGAACTGCCATGTCTTCAGCACTATGACCGCAAGCCAGCTTACACGGCGATCTAAAGCGACATCTAACAGACAAGACAACAAGGCGGCTTGTGTCGAAGTGCGGCTTATCTCGCTAGTGTCTGCCCGGCCTGTCATGGAGAGCAGTGCCTGCCCTGGCGGTTGCTGTTGCTAAACATTTGCCGCAGGCAGGACAGCTCAGCTTCCGCGCCAGACGTTCACTTGGCTCGATCAACTTCTCGCCACGTATCTTGAAAGAGAGGCCACCGCTGTGTTTGTACCATGGCCTGATGGGGTGATTGCCATGGATATGCGCTGGCGCCACACACCGATCCCGTGGTGTTTTGCGTTTTGGGAAAGCAGGCGCAATGCAAACTTCGGCAGTGCTCTTCCACTAGACGCACTGACGAGCTCAGAGGAAGGATCTACCTAAGTGGCACCTTCTGGCCGCGGAATTGTGGCCCCTATCTCATGTAAGTAGGTGTGTACTAGGTGCCAAAGCCGCTGCCTTTCCTTAAATGCCCAACCTTTCATCTTGCCAAAATCCCGATGTCTGACACTGACGTCCGACATTGACAGACGACGGTGACAGAGAATGGCAAGAAAGCGACCCACAGAGGAATGCTTACGGCGGCAGGAAACACTACGACTCGGGGAATAGAAAGTAAGTCCAGCTCTAGCTTGTGTTACTCATAGAACCCAGTTAGCTGACCACATCTACTGCCATATCTGAATGAAGAATGCGAGGCTGGAACCCATTTCTCTGACCGGTTTGTGCACATGTCCCATTCAACGGCAGGTGGGTGCATGAATCGTAGTTCCTCTATCTTGCCACGTTGCCTCTCATATCATCTCACTTTTGGACAACGATTGCTTGGTCTAGACTACAAACATATTGCAGTTTGGCCAATTGCCAATGCCAACTCGATTTCTTTTCCGTTCCGAGGCCTGCACGCCAGTTATCTGGAGCACAGTGTGTCAGGCCTGCCCAGACTCTTTTTGTTTGAATCCCATCCTTTCTGAAGCGGTGATGGGTTTGCAATTTGACCACATGATTCACTGGCTTCATTTCATGCAGAGTTCGTATGGGATATGGGATATGGGGTATGGCGTTGTGCCCGTTGTTCCTGGATTCCATTTTCTGCGAGAGTTTATTCAACCAGCCTTCGACACCGGCCACTTTCCTAATACTAGCCCTTCAAGTCTGAGTCCAGATGGATTTATGTGTCGGATTCGAGTCCCATCTTCGATGCATTGGAGAAGGCCAGATTGAGAGTAATGCAGGCTCTGAAGTTGACCAAAGGCCAGGGCAGATATAATGTTACAGGGTTGATGGGGATTGATGGGGATTCCTTCAGCTTTAAAATTCGACCAAGTTGCTCACCGGCTCAAAAACGTGGCTGGCACGATGCTCTGGATCACAGGCAAAAAAGAGGATTGTACTTGCATAAGCAGTGTTACGGTTCGACGACAGTCGTCCGATGGCTAACTACCTGCCTCTGCATTTCTCCTCATGACATTCTGGCTGAAACTGTCTTGATGTCCCCTGGTGTGCTTCCCGTGTCACGGAACTCATGCCACTCAACACATGCAGGGTCGTTCTGTGCGACTGCAGCTCACCCAACATCTCTGCCCCTTCGGTAGTCTGTTACACCGCGCGTGGCACAGACCAACCTCCTCATTCCATGAAAGATGCGCAATTGTCGAGGCTGGACCTGAATCGAGAGGCAGGGATCTGGTTGGATGACGAAGCACTGAAAGGCGCAGGGACAACTTGAAGTCTGGACGGGGGCTGCCGTGAAACGAGAAAGCCGCCTCAAGCCTGCCCATGTTGGCTGGGGTATGTATTTCACTGCAGAATGTGCCAACCTCGCCAGGTCGCGTTTGAGAGGCCCATGCTGTGTTCCCATCGGCTTCTGACCGGGGGGCGTCTCTCCACATTCATTCCTGCCTTGTCCAATGCCTCCTGACCAACATCGGTATCACAGAATTACGTTCTTGCATTAGTCCGGGTTTTTTTGGCCTCTTTGTGTCCCCATTGCCACGCTCAACCAGCGAGACTGGAGAGAGAACGACCAGCCCAGGCCGGCCCAGCCCAGCCCAGCATGCGCATTTGCATCACAAGCAGGACTTCCCTGCATCAACCTCGGAGGTCAGGCACGTTTGTGGTGCCCTCCCCAGGCGTCTCTGGCGCGCTGGCTGGCAGCAACGGTATGTACGTAAGCTCCCTTTGATCAAACCCGCACCGCATTCTCCCTCAGACCATGCGCCATGCAGCCCTATCCCCAAGCCAACCAGCCCGGTTGACGCCGGAATGGAACGGAGAGAAATGGCAATACCTGAGGTGGCCACGGTGGGACAGACAAGAAACGCGGGTCGCAGCATGGCGGCACGTATCCAGCGCGCATGTGCTGGGCTAGGCGTGGTCTAGACAGAGGGCCCGTGACACCGCGGGGAGGACACACGAGGCGTGATTCCCGCGAGGGTCGGGGGGGAGTTCTGGATACGTCCGGATTGGCGAAGACCAAGATCAAGACGAAGACGAGATACCTGGACCCGATTAATCGATGGCTCCACGGATGGACAGATCGACTGATTCTCCCGCCCGGCGGAAATCATGCCTCTGGCTATAGTAGTGGGCTTGAGAGCCTCGCTCGCACGGCATAGCCAACTTAGAACTACCCAGCTAGCTCAATAGCTATGTATGGCCACTAGGAGCCCGTTGGTGCTGGCCAGTGGGCTAGCTGACCACGCAGTTACTGCTGGAGCTGGAGTTGCTATCTGGTCGCGACATACTTGCTGACATAGTTGGAGACAGGAGACAGACACCACGCCAGCCTGGTTCGATCCAATCACAAGAGTCCACCTCGGTCGGTTTGGCCCTCCTTGCCCTCCCTTACTTACCTACCGCGCTACCTACTCACTCCCTTCCTCCCTCACTCCTCACTTAGCCGGCCAGCCACCCAGCCAACCTTACCCCAACGAACAATCGATTCTACCCTTCTAAGCAGGCATCTTTCATTGATTGATCTTGCTTCCTTGCTTACTGGCTTCCTGGCAGGCACGCATACATGTCTTTCTTCAGGTAGGCTTATGTATGTTGGGGCGTGACGCGCCCAGGGAGGTTCAAATGGAAAGTGAGAAAGGGAAAGGGAGAAGGGCTCGAAAAAGGAACAGCATGATCGATCCACCGAGATTTCCACCTAATAGACTGAACTTGGTAGGTAGGTATTTTTTTTTTGGCCCTATTGAGAAGAATGAGCGACAAAAGTCGACTACAGTATCGACCTCGAGCCTTCCAACGTCCAACTCGTCCCTCGAGGACCCGTCTCTGGGTTTGATGTCCTCGCCACGTCACACCGCATCGGATATCATTACAATAACGTCGTCCCCATAGCCCCTTATGGCGCCTTTTAGACCTGCTGGGTTTTATTCCTTTTTTGGCGGTTCAGAACTCAGGCTTTCCTCGCCAAAATACTACCATGGGCCGCATCAACCAGGCCGTTGAACTGCTTCGAGTTTTGATTGGTCGTCAGGGTAACCGATTGTCCGCCCGCATTGACGACGACCTCGACGCCCTGGAAATCGGCGGTCAGTTCGGCGGCGTTGATCATGAATTTGCCGCTCGAGTCAAAGGAGCTGGCGTAAAACTGGCTGATGGGTTGTTGGTGGTTCACGAGTGGGATTTCGGCATTGACACCATGACCGGTCTGATTGTTGGTGAGTCTGAGGCGGACCATTTTGTCGAGCAGTTGTTTTGAATTGACTGGGTGAATGAAAGACTCTTGGGAACGATTGGTCGCGAGGTGTGGAAGCTCAGGAACAGGTTATGAGGAGCCGTGTGAAGCTGTCTTGGACGATTGCCAGCTTTTATAGACATCTCTCAGCTCCATCAGGCTCAGCTGATGAGGCAGAGATTTCGACGAGGAGGGGCTATATGCAGCTGAGAGCTTGGAAGCCTCGATTCGTCCAGGCCTTGCAGCCCATCGACAGGCCCAGCAAGTGGACAGCCAAACAGATGCGAGCATGTGCTTCGAGCAGTGAGCATTGAGTAAGAGCTGACACCTCGAGGGTTGTGGTTCGATCTGCATGCAAAACGAGGGGATACTTGCGCAATGCGCCAAGGTCTCGAGACACATCGAATACTCCAAAGAAATGGCTGGAGGCCCGTGCCGACGATGCTGTGAGCTATAAACAAGCATTGTCTGAATCTCGCTCTGCCCCGTGTTTCAAGATGTTTTCCATCATACCTGAGGGAAAGCCCATTGCTGTTTCTGTAACTGATACTCACCAAAGAGGCGAGGAGTCTTGGGTAGCAGAAGCATCATGTGATGGCCTGTGAAACACGCATGGGCCGAGGGAGCTCTCAGCTGAAGTGCTGTCGTGCTCACCAGAATGCGAGGATATCATGACGGCGTGCATCCACAAGGATCGTTGATCATCCTTATGTTTATTTGTTTTCAAAGGCCCACCTGACCGCCTCGCTCGCAAAGACTGACCATTGACAAGGGCCCACGGAACAGAGCCGCTGGTTCTGCCTTCAGGCGACTGGTTCTAGACCTTGCGTGGCTTCGTTGCCTCCACAACATCTCCCCGCCTTTTCAGCTCTGCGTCGGTATACAAAGCATATCATTTTTAGAATGTCTGGCTGGGATTGTCGGAGATTCCACACAGATCGTAGCCGAGAACCCAGAAAAGAAACGGAAACATCCGGAGAATACGAGAAGGACGATCGCCTCACTCCCAGGATTGGATGGAGGCTGGAAGAAAACGGAGCTGAAAAATAACATGATTAACAAGTATCAAGCAGACTTGTATGAGCACCACATATGGGTTCTTAGGGGTTGCGCCTTGCAACATTCACCTCAGCACTCTCAGCCTGAAGCATTCAGAGACACCGGCATTTCTTCAATGGGGACACCAGTCAGGTCCACAAATACCCTTGTGCTGACTTGTCACGAGTCGGCAACCATATGGTCTGATGTCCCATAGCAAAATAATCGTCCGAAATTTATCATGTACAAGGAGCGTCACTTGTGCGGAGTGGCATCGCCGGATTATTTTCTCATCAAAGAGATCCGGGGGATTGACTCCCACAAGGACCAAAATCATGCCACAAGTCACTCCATCGGGAAAGTTCGAATGAACCAAGTAATGTATTGGTAAGAGCGTATATGCCGAGCAATCCAAGACTCGAGGCAGCTGCGGCATTCGTTCGATGAACATGTTGCGCCTTGCAGTTGTGCTGTCAGCTCCACTCCCAGCCTGGGTAGGTGCGATAGTTGCCCCATTGCCGAGAAGCTGAAAACGGAGAGCTTGACGCCCTGTCAATCCGGTAGGTGCAGGTAGCAGGCGGGACTGATCGCCGTAACCGTGGAGGCCCGCACTCCCTCGCTTGCTAGATCGGCCGATGGAAGAGTTTGTTTTCGACTGTTTCCCACCTAAAAGGAGACGAGTACTGGGATCACGGGGACGGCGGCCTTGGGACCGAAGACTTGCGAGCCATCCATTATCCCTGTCCCTACTTGTAGTCGTCACAATGTCAACGATGAATAGTACTGAGGCATTTCCCGCAAGGACTATTTCCCACAAATCACAATGACATTCATTCTGGCGGCGGCTACCACACCTACTGATCAGAGAGAGACCGTAGAAGCCTGTCTATAGGTTCGGCAGTCCAAATACTCCAAATCTAACCATCCAGCCCTCCAGGCGACATGTTCCCGTTCAAGATTGGCCACATCCATTTGACGAGGTGGGCGATTTCATGTAAAGGTAGTTCTCCGGGTCTGGTGTTTCCTCCATCCCGCTGCGGATCACATCCACAGGAAGCTTCAGGTCATCAGAAGTGGCTGCTATGACGGACGAATCTGCAGGAGCAAGCCCGCCTAGATCTTTGACGACGTAAGCGTATCTCATAAGGTGAGTCCCAAGAAGATTCCACACTCCGGTCGCACCTGGGAAGAGTTGTCCCATTTCTCCAGTCTTGTAAGAACTTTGCAGCACCGTATGGCATCGATACCAAATCATTCTTTCGTGCTCTGTGTCGCGCTCGGCAGGAGGAGCACCATCTAGGCAGGAGACGCTGACTTGAGGTAGGATGAAAGGGGGTGTGAGCAATCTCGCATGAGTAGCTAGTGCGGCAGTGTTGTGAGTCGATTCAGGTTCGATCCAATGGAAGGTTGCCATCATCTGGGCCAGGTCACAGAGACGCCAGATGGGGGTAGCGACGTAGACACCTCCTGCTGTGCGAGAACGGAGCTAACATTCCCCGAAAACGACTTGAACCGTCTTTTGACCCGCGTTGATATGGTCTTGCAGCTTGTTTTTCATGAGAGAAGAAATGGTCCCAACTCGGTTGACCAGACTGGTCATGCAGGTTGGGGCGTGGTTGAAGTCTACCATAGGGTTTGGGGATCCGGTTGGAGAGTCAGGCAATGGATTGATCCGGACAACGATGACTGAACATTGCTCCCATTGGACATCATTTAGAGCATCAGGCTTTGGTGACTTGTCGTTGACATGGAGCACCCATGAAATACCCTCTCTGGAGAGGATTGGCTCGGAGGGAATTGGTTCGCAAGGGGGATGTTCCTTCATGGAAGGAGTTGTGGGTTGGGTTGAGGGTTGTGAGCGCGAAGTTACGTGAGAGGATGCCATGACGAAGAACGATACCGTTGAAGCAGAGAGCTTTGAAAATGGTTACGCACACAGGCAGCAAATGTATAATGTTTCAAGTAAGATGTACTGTTGACTGAGATGCAGTGATTTGGGATGGAAGAAGTGTAGAGAGAGATAGGATGGACAAGATATATAGCCACATCCTACCTGGGAGGCGCCTGCAGCATGAGCCATCATTGCCTGATGTATGAAGTCTTTTGAGGCAACAATGACTGAAGTGTGAGAGAAGGGAAGGAAGGCAAAAAGGGGGGGGGGTGGCGAGGGTGGTAGTTGTGATTGCTGCTGTCAACGAGGCAAGGCTCGACCTGCAAGGCTTCTATCTAGGGGAGCATTCCGGGCGACCTTCCTTGTTAGGCGTGGGCCTCCTTAGCGTCTTCCCCGCCAAATCATAACGGGCAAGAAAAGGCCCCTCAGGCACCGGTGTCTCGCTATTGGCTGAACCTCCGACCGCCCGCAAGCGCAGTGAATACCAAAGAAGATTCAAGAAGTTTTTGTGCGATTGAACAAAGACTGCGGCTCTTACCCTCACCGTGTATTTTCCTCCTCGCCAACGTCTCCCCCTACAGCAATCACCAACTCCTCAGACTCCACTACCAGCCTAAATCTGAATTCGTCTCATTCTCGCAGCCTACACCATGGCAGAAGCAAAGAGTGGTAAGCCTTACCACTCTCCCATGCGCGTCAATATAACCTGACCGACCTCTCACTGTGCAGGAAGACCGCGGGTCTACTTTGACATCACAATCGGTGGGAGGAAGCAGGGTCGTATCGTCTTCGAGCTTGTAAGTCGTCTCGCAAATCTGTATGAGGGGGCACATGAACTGACACCAATGATAGTACAACGATGGTATGATTCTCTGTCCTCCTCCTCAGATCGCCCTCTTCCACTAATATCCTCTCCAGTCGTACCGAAAACGGCAGAGAACTTCCGTGCTCTCTGCACAGGTGAGAAAGGCATGGGAAAGCAAGGCAAACCTCTACACTACAAAGGTGCGATAGACTGTACACAATGGATTCGCTCAAGACTGAGTTTGCTGGCCAGGGTCGATCTTTCACAGAGTCATCAAGGCGTTCATGATCCAGGGCGGCGATTTTACGAGGTTCAATGGCACTGGAGGCGAGTCCATCTACGGCGAGAAGTTCGAGGACGAGAATTTCGATCTGAAGCATGACCGCCCTTTCCTTCTATCCATGGCTAACTCCGGGCCTGGTAAGAGATTTGAATCTACGCATACGCCTTCCGAGTCCCAAGCTGATGTGTCCAGGTACCAATGGATCGCAATTCTTCATCACGACTGTTCCCACTCCTCACCTCGACGGCAAGCACGTCGTGTTCGGTGAAGTCATCAACGGTAAGAACATTGTGCGCACCATTGAAAATCTTCAGTTGCAGGCGGACAAGCCAGTTGGTGGCGATGTGGTGATAGCCGAATGTGGTCAGCTCGAAGGTGAGGCCTATGCTACAGCCACTCAGAAGGTGACAGATCCGACCGGCGACCCCTATGAGGACTACCCAACCGACCAGGGTGAAGGGTTGACGGGAGAGCAATACTACAAAATTGCGCTGGACCTCAAAGAATTTGGCAACAAGGCATTTAAGGCTGGAGATGTCGAGACAGGAATTGAAAAGTACCAGAAGGCGCTCAGATACCTAAATGAATATCCAGCAGCCAACGACAGTGACCCCAAGGATCTGCAGAGCAACTTGGACTCCCTGCGGTTCACCCTGCTCAGTAACTCTGCACTTCTCGCCAACAAAGCCAAGCGGTATGAAGAGGCTCAGAACTGGGCCGGCTATGCCATCGATTCTATTCCAAAAGACACCAAGGACACCGACAAGGCCAAAGTGTACTTCCGCCGCGCTCAAGCTAGGGTGGCACTGAAGGACCTGGAGGAAGCGCTCAAGGACTACGAGCACGCCGCAAAGTTGGCCCCGGAGGACGCGGCGATCAAGACCGAGCTGGCCAGGACGAAGAAGACTCTGGCCGACAGCATCAAGAAGGAGAAGGAGAGTTACAAAAAGTTCTTTACTGGCTGAGAGGCGCCGCGGAGTGGTTGCACTGCGTCCTTTGGGGCTAGCTGGACAAGATGGGCTCGGAAGTGGATACGGCACACAGGCACACAGCTTGGAGCATCACCATCGGCAGGCGTAGCTGTTACGGGTAGAAAGAACCCCGTGGTTAGTACTAGACATTCTCGGTATCTTTTTCCATTTGAAAATGGACGCGGGAACAGCATGAGTTTGAAGGCGCGGCGCTTGGTCGGTTGCTTAGGCATCGATCCGAGTTTGATTGAATATTCCAAACCCTCGAGCGGACAGTCCACAGACAGAGCTTTCAACGTGCTTTTCTCATTCTCACACGCATTATGAGGCAGCCAGTTGAGAACTCAAGTTAGACCCAGACCAACGAACAATGAACGATACATCAAATGACATTTATACCCCCTGAACATGCCCTACCTAGGTATTTCGACAGCAGAGGGTACGTGATCTTTTCCTCCGAGAGAATGTCCTCTCCGAACTGTTTTACCTTTCAACCTAGCCCAACTTTTGACGTGTCCAAATATCGAATATCTATGTCTCTCTTTTCGTGCGTTCATTCAGGATATACGGGTCCTCACGGCTGACTCCTCCCCTGTGCGTTCCCTTGCGCCAAATTGCCTGTACTCCTCCCGACCTTGATTTCCTCCCGCCACGTCATCCTCTCCTGCTTGGCCACTCCAGGACCCTTGTACACACTCCCGTACAAGCCGGTGGCCCAGCTCTTTCCCTCTATAGCTTTGTCGCTGTCATTTTGGTCGTGCTTCTTCTTCGCCGCGGCGGTATACCGTCGTCGATACCACTTCCCGTACGCCAGCAGGTAGTACAGTCTGAAACTAAGGAAGGCGAATTTGTCGTGCTCCAGGTCCTCCGGGTACTCTGCGCCCAGATCGACCGCGACCGCAATCCCCGCCATGATGGCGACCTCGTGTGCGTTGACTAGCGTCCAGCTCGCGGCGTATCGCACCCTCCTTTGGCCCTGGAGAAACATCATCCACGGCACGACGAACAGGTAATGCGTGTACGAGTGACACAGCTGATGCCACCAGTCTTTCCTGATAACCTTGCTCTGGTCAATTTCGGCGTCGCTCCACAGATGACCATCTCGATCTCGATTGAGGAATATCGTCTGGAACACGTGATCTTCAAAAGGCACCTGGTCGGGGAACTGCGACTGGTAGTTTGTGGTGTCAAAACACATTTCCAGCTTGGACTTGTCCTGGTCGTACATCTTGATGTAGTACATTGGGCGGAAATTCGTGGCCGCGAAGTCGCAGCGGGAGGACTGGTCTTTGCCGCCGAGGGTTCTGACGGCGGGAGGCTCCGAGTAGAAGTTTTGATAATGTTTTTTCATATAGGCCGAGTCAGTGTGCGTGATGGTGATGTCGTCGGAGAATTTCGCAGAGCCGAGGACTTTCCTCTCGCGCCAGGATGAGGTGGACGAGAGGACGCGCTTAGCAGTGTCGGCGAGGCAGCATAGGATGAGTTCGTCGAAGTGCTCTTCGAACGTGGGAGCATCTGGGTCGCCGCTAAGGGGGTTGTGGTGGTCGGGCGCTGGCGTACGGCTTTTCAAGGACACGACGACGCCGCTGGACTTCGAGCGGTGGAGAACCGCCACGAGTTCGGTGGAAAGGCGGACTGTCACGCCTCGCGAGACGAGATCTTTGCGCCAGGACTCGTAGAAGTCGCTGAAGTTGGGAAAGACGACCATGGGAGGATGATTACTCGCTATGCTGGCCGGGTCGTAGGGGTACCACATGCCGTAAGTCGGACTTGTGCATAGTCGCTCAAGCATGATTGAGGGGACATTGGGTGTTTCATTGCCGGTTCCCAAAAACAAGGCCACCATTGGTAAGGCGACGGTGTTGGTGAACTCTTCTGAGAAAAACCACAGCTTGAAAAAGACTTTGAGCGGAATCAAGGCGAACAAGATCTCGAACCAACGCATGAATTTTAGGGCGAAATTGAGGCGTCGTATTTCGCTCTGATGGCGGGCCAACAGGTCCGTGGGGAAGACGTTGGTCCAGAAGGTCTTGTCCTTGCCGAAGGAGACTTGGAGATTGACGGGGTCCGCGTGGTATCCCTGGCGCGCAAACATGGTCAAGGTGTGGTGGAAGATGTAGCTGCCGCCTTGAACGCCTTGGTTGAACCAGCTGGCGCCATGGCGAGACTTGTCGAGGGGACAGGAGAAGGCTTGCCCGCCGCAGTAGTCGACGGCGTCAATGAGAGTGATGTGGTATTTGTCGGGATGCTGGGAGAGATGATAGGCGGCAGACATTCTGGCGGAGGGAATTCACAGTCAGTGACTGCCCATGAAGAAGGGGAGTGAGGAGGGACACGTTACCCAGCTGCACCGGCGCCAACAATGAGAACCTTCTTGCGTCCAGCCTGATGCTGAGAAGACATTGGTTTCTGAGCCATGGACGAGGTACCGATGGAGGTCTCTCGCTCGATGTCGTGGTGGAAGGAGGTGCTGTCCATCAGCAGGACATGCGGGCAAAGAGGGAGGCCAGCAGATCAATAGGCAGAGCACAGTTTCGTGGTCATGTGTGAATGTGGCAGACTGATGGAGGGTGAAGGGTACTTGAGGGCACTTGAGGGTGCCTGAGGGTACCTGAGGGTCCCTAAGAGTCCCTCAGTATTGGTGAATGATCCGCACATTTCAGACTGCGACGTCATGACTTTGAGGAACCAGCACCAGATTCATCTCTCACACGCTCACACGCTCACACACTCAGACCATCTCGCGTCAATCTCTTCCATCAATGACATGCATGTCCATCTGCACCTCATCTCGGATCCCCCACCTTCGCCAATCTCTCTGCCCTGACTTGCTTTTTCTGTATCATTGGACGGGCTGATGGAATTCCTGCCGAGGGTTCATTTTCTCCATTGCTGGCTGACGACACCGCCGACTTTTGATGGTGCTTCCTATGCTGTGTCCGCCGTCACCTGTGTCGAATGGCTCTCTCAAATTATTGCGGACCTCGATTCTCTCTTTTCTGAGATGAATTTGGTGTAATACTTGGTTGACTTCGGTAAACATCGGCGCGTCCGTCCCTGCATCAAACGATCCTCAATTTTCGACCATTGGAGAAACTGTGCCGAAAATCTGCCTCCTCGCCTCGTCCCTTCTCCAGACACTGCAAGATTCTCCGCTTGCGCTCATTCTTGCGAAACGAGACAACGGCTCTGACGGGATAGCACAGTCAGCAGGTAGAGGCCCAAAGCTGAGTCGGCATGTGGGCAAGATGCATGCGAAGGAATCACAAGTCATTTCTACATGGTAAAAGACATCACAGTCATCAGCGGTTTGGTTGGGCCTCCACTACGACCCATCAATCCATCTTCCACCGATTTCTTTCCATGATGTGACACCAGGAGTAACCTCTGGAACAAATCGTCCCCAGGCTCGAACGGTTTCTCAGCAAAAGCTCCGGTGAATTCCTTGAGCGACACCAACGTTCTCGCTATTGACACTTCAGGTCCTCTGTTGGTCAAAGCAGCCCATTCCTGTTGGGTTTCTGTGAGCCACAATCGCCCCTGTGAGCTGAAGGGCAGTGCGTAAACAAATAGCTGATGACAACACCAGCCAACTCGCCATGCACTGTATGTACCATCGAGTAGATACGACATGAGGATGGCCCGACGGACGCTCTCGCCCAGAATCCAGCTCCGCCATGGGTCCAAGTCATGGGGTATTCTGCTCGCCGCCGACGTCCAAAGTATAGTTGTCCATCTGGCCAATAGTTCGAACCCCAGGTTGACTGGCCAGGTAGTCTTCTGGTCAAAGGCGTGTTGAATCAGGAGCAGTATCAGAGCTTGCGTGGCAGCCACTAACTCTATCAGAGAGACGGTTGGTGCGTCCAAAGTGATGAGCTCAGAGAAAGGACTGCTGTCAAACCTGACGCCCTCAAGCACCCAGGCCAGATGCCGCTGAGAGGTTGTCCCATGCAGCTGGGGATGAACAAAAGGCGTCGCCCGTCCTTTTCGCACCAGGTCCGGGATCCGAAGCATCTCGCCAATGATGTAGTGCGTGGCCTCGGGATCCGCCGTCAGAGGGACCGCTGTCAGCGCAAGCACCAGCGTTCGGTTGGCCAAGCAGGCGTGGATCTTGTCGCTCATGTGCAAGGAAGCGATGTACTGCAGGAAATCGGGCCCGGCCGCGTCTGCGTCTGCGTCGCGACTATGGCCTGTGTCCAGCTTGGCTGTGAGAGCGCGGCTTTTCCTGCATCTGCGGCGTCGTGCCCCGGGAGATGACGATGCACCCGATGAATTCTGTGTCAAGAGCGGCTCCAGATCGTACACGCAGTCGAGATTCATCCTCCGACAGCGCTGACACTTTGGAAGCCCAATCACGCACCGCCGCTTGCTCCTCGTGCAGCTGCGACACGCTTTTCTTAGAGGCGATGCTGATGGAAATGACGATGGTGGTGGCTCCGTCATCGCCGCCCAAGCCGCGACCTTCGTCTCGGGGCCGAATGAGTAAGGAGCAGCAGATACGTTCGGCAGTCAGTTGCAAGGTACCTGGGGCCTGCGGATGAACAAGAGAGCGTCAGATGTGACAAGTTGTTTCTCGTCGTGGCGATCGAAGAAGCATAGTTCCCGCCATCGGAACTGCGATATTACGAGGATGGGACCAGCTGGGCATTTAATTAATATGCCCTGGTCAACCTGGTCTTGACCCGTTGCGTATCCTTGCCGCCATGGGTTTAGATCCCACCCTTTGCAGTCTGGACGCCTCATTCGATAATTGGCCTGGCGGCCTAGCGAGCCCCGTCTTCGCATCTCCCCCAGCTAGGTCGATAACTATCGGCGAACAATATGTCACTTATATAGAATGGATATTCATGCCTGTATTGAGACTGCAACTATGCTATGTATGTGGTGTATAGATATATGGAGTCCCGGGTATTCAGCCATTCATCCATTCACAGTATACGAAGTCGATCCATCTCGGTGCGAGTCGACCAAGTGTCTACAGAAGGGATCTTCACAGAGGAAATTTCTTTCAGAAGGACATGAATACCGTCTTCGTCAAACACCCCCCCGTCCTACTCGTACTCTCTCTCGCGCCTCTCGCCTCTCGCCTCTCGCCTCTCGCCTCTCGCCTCTCGCCTCTCACCTGGCCATAACACTTCCTAATCCTCCACTCGCCTTCCAGTCTTTCAGAAGATGGCACTGAGCGCCTTCCTCCACCACGGCCAAGTCGCGACCCTGGCCCTGAAGGCATTGATGGTCTCCCAGTCGTGCTCGCGGCGGCCTGTGTCGAGATCGATCTGGTCGAGGCGGAGGAATCCGTGGCGTTTCCACAGGTAGCCGCAGGCCCAGAAGAAGAGCACCACGGGGAGGGCCAGGTAGGCTTTGAAGAAGTCTTCGGCGCTGGCCAGGTCGCTGGTGAAGGGCGGGGCGATGGCGACGAAGAACTGCGCCGCCAGCGCAATGAACACGAGGAACAGGCCCAGCCACGATCCCCACACGCCGCCGATCGCCTTGAACGGGATGTCGTCCAGGCTGCGCCCCTGTCGGGTCCATGCTGCTCGGAACCGGATGTGCGCCTGCGTCTCGTCAGTAAAAAGGGCACTGCTGAGGATGTGAAATGGCGGCCATTGCAAGGGACTTACCACGCAGATAGAACCCCAGGTGAAGAGGGCAGCGAGACCAGACAGCGCGAGCAGCCAGTCGAAGACGACGCTGCCAGACGACGCCAGCACAACATAAGCCAGCGCACCAAAGGCCAGGTTGAGTACCACAGAGGGCAACGGTCGGCCGGACCTGTCGATGTAGGAGAAAATCCGGGGCGCATACCCCTGCTGAGCGAGGGCGGTCAAGGTTCGCGAGCCGCCGTAGACGCTGGAAACACCAATCGACACGACCGAGACAAGAATGACCACGTTCATAAAACTGTCGTAGCCGATCAGGCCGGCATCCAGGGGTGCAAGCACGAAAGGCGACGTGCCGTCTGCGTACGGGTTGGCGGCGTTGAGGAGACGGTCGTCGGTAGAGCTAACCAAAAGGCCGACGAAAGTGAGCCCGAGGATGTAGAATCTGTAACCCATTAGCTGCACAGTCACTTGGAGGGGAAACGTGGTATCCTCTCACAGGGTAATACGCCAGAAGACCTGTTTGATGGCGCTCGGAAGGGACTTGCCAGGGTTGTTGGACTCGGCGGCAGCAAGTCCCACGAGTTCGGTGCCCGCAAACGCAAAAGCCGCCGTGACAAACACGGAGCAGAAGCCACGGAAGCCGTTCTGAAAGGCACCAGGGTTATACCACAGCCGGGCGCCCCAGTACTCGTCGTAGATACCACTCGAGGGTCCACCGCCGCAAACGAGAACGACGGCAACGACCATGAAGATGACGGTCGCCAGCAGTTTGAACAGGGAGGCCCAAAATTCCTCCTCGGCGTAGCCCAGGGTCCCGAAGACATTGATAAAGATTATGAAGACCCAAAAGATGGTGATCCAGACCGCTACGCTTATGTCTTTGTTCCAATATTGCACGGTGAAGGAGCAGACGGTCAGTTCGAGCGGTAGGACGATGATCCATTGGAAGACCTGGTCTCTGTAAGTGGACAAACTCAGTCAATACTCGGCATGAAGACCTACGTAGTTCCAACCCATCGCGAAGCCCCATGAAGGATCAATCTGTCGTGCCGTTAGCACCGTGGACTTGTTCTTGTACTGGCAGGTTCCCAACCTACAAAGCGAACCGAATATGTGTAGAACCCTCCGCTGATGGGATACATGACGGCCAATTCTCCGAGCGCGTAGACGACGTTGAAGATCATAACTCCGGTGATGAGGAAGCAAATGAGAAGAGAGGCCGGGCCGCCTCGAGTCAAAGCTCCTCCAGAGCCAACGAAGAAACCAGCGCCGATTGAGCCCCCAATAGCAATCATGTTCAGGTGGCGGGACTTCATGGAGCGATCAAGCTCCTCCACGCCCGTCCCCCAGTCGCCTGTGGAATTGTCAATGCATGTTGACGCGACGATAGAGAAGCCTTACGTCTTCGGAAACTGTTGAGGCTGAGGCCATTGCGGGTGAGAAAGTCCTTCTCGCGAAAGTTTTCGGGCACGTAGCCATCTCCTGGGCTGTGCCTGGCGATGTGCACCGCTTTCTCAGAGTCGGTCGGTGACTCCTGTGCTATGGTGTATTCCTTCGGCGCGTCGAGACTCATTTTCCCGGTTGCGTATCAGCAGAAGGGAGGGTAAGAAGGGATCCCTGGGAGAGATCGTCGCGACAGGACGTCAAGGTCGCTGGGTTAAAGAGCTGTTCGAGAGACAATGGCCAATGCTCTGAGCAACGCAAGACTATGCAAGAGTGGAGAGATGAAGGAGGCAGGAGGAGATCCCATCCGCACCTTTAATACCACCATCCCCCAGCGGTTAATGGAGGGTACAACAGGCTCAAGAAGCTCAATCTGCTATCTCTCGGCCATCTGCGTCTCCCATGTCAGAGCTCTCGCAAGCCTTCCAAGGTGGAGAGCTTTCTTCCGGGTGGCGGCTTGGCCCAGTCAACGAGGTCACGTCACTTAACTGATCGTGGAAGGCACCGAGCAGATGCGGAGGCCAAGAGGTTACGACCAAGAGATAATACGCCTCGGCGGAGGCGATACCACGGTTCGAGAAGCCCATTGCAGCCGAGCGGGAGCGGAGACTGGCAGAAGATCCACGAAGACAAGAAGTTTCCTGGGCTCGTAGAGGCGAATCCCCAGCGCGCGCCGAGGCTTGTCGTCTGGGCGGAAGCATGGCCAAGACGGCGGTGGAATCCCACTGGAGCCACAGACGAGAGTTTCCAATGGCAGAGAGTGTGAAGCCGGAAGATAGGTGTTGGCTGTTGTCATTGTTTTGTAACCCGTGAACCTTATTGGCAGCTAGGCGATTCAAGTATATGTATGCGGGGTGTCGAAAGCTGTCGATAAGTTCTCACGCGACAAAGGTTTGAATGATATTGATTTGGCGAGAAGGACGAGATCTGCGAAGTTATCTTGCTCGCTTGGTGGCAGCGGCATTGGTGGGTGGAGGAAAATGTGATCGACTAACCTACCCTTCAGAGTCACAGCTAAGCCAACAGTTCTCAAACCACCGAGGCAATTTCCCGCCCTGGAGGCTGTGCAAGAGATACAAGCTTGAAACCAAATCGATCAATAGACGAGACACGGGACCAACGGGACCCACGGGACACTTTGTACAGTATTCGGTATCTTGGTTGACGAACAAGGCTCCTCCCGTGTTACTCTTATCTGAACACTGTACGCAACCCCGATTGGGCCCCTTCTGCCCCAGCCTCGCGGCATCAACCCACTGCACCCACTGCAACTTAAAGCTATGAACCTGTACGAGGTGAGCTGACATGAAATTACAATGGACAATTGAGAGAGCATACTTGACCATTATTAGCTACCTGAGAGGAAATTCAAAAGCATCGAATCCAAAATCCAGCTCACGACTAGATACCAATCGTCACCTTTTGTTGTGGTGGTGGTGGTGGTGGTGGTGGTGGTGGTGGTGTTGTCAATTTTCTCGGTCGATATTAGTTGTTTCCAATTGTTGCCCATCGCGCCATTCTTCTCTTTCCCCCTGTCATCATCGCCCTGCCAGACCACGATCAAGCCACATGAATTTCCCAGTGCGCAGGAATACGGAACACACCATCCTGCTTCTGCCCCTCTGCTTGGCCCAGCGGTAGCCCGTCGACTTTCCACTTGGCGGCATTCCACTCAAGATCCTTGAGCTTCAAATCTTCGCCGTAATAGGCACTAATCTTCTGCGTCAACGTTTCGTACTCCCTGAGCGATTTGGAGAAGCCACCGGCCCGCTGAAGCGCGACTTTGAGCAGTCTGAGATGTCTGCGGACAATCTCGAGCTCCTCCTCTCGGTTTTGGAACGAGCGCACGTGTTTGTGGTCCCCATTGACCTTGGATTGGGAGCTCACGCCATTGGTGCCGTTGGTTGTAGCAGCTTTCTTCAAGCTGATGCCGAAGTCCAACTCATAGTCATCATCATCGCCGGTGTCAGCCGCATCGGCATCCACCAATTGCTTGAGTGCCGTGAGATGGACGTCCGCCGCTTTCCTCAGGTAAAGGAGAGCGCTCTGCTCCGACAACTTCTTGGTGGCAGGCTCCTGTTTGGCGGCCTCGGCCAGCAAATGGTTTGCATATCCGGTGTAGAGCTCTGCCAGCAAATTCCAGCACGAGTACAAACGCGGATTCCTCGATCCATGCACACGTTTGATGTTGTACACAATGTCTTCGCACAGGCGCAACGCGGGCTTGTAATTGCCCGCACTGAACTCCGCTTGAACCAGGCGGAAACCAAGGTCAAGGATAGTATCCTGAGGCCAGGAGCTTTGGCCCTCGCGAGACGTCCACAGAGTATTGAGAAGCCAAGAAAGACGGGAATAGTCCTTGTGTTCGCCAATCAAGCTAATGAGTTCGTTGAGTTCAGATAGCTGGGCTCGCGCAATGTTGATGCTATTGTTCTTGCAAATGTCGAAAACTTCAGCCAAGATCTGCTGAGAGAGGGCGAGCATCTCGCTTTGCACCTTAGGACTGCTGCTCTTGTAGGCAAATTCACCTCTTCCAGCAGTCATGAGGCATAGCTGGAACCCAAGACGGATTTCGGTCGGGTCATCAAGACCTTCGTGCGCCATGAGGAACTTGAATGTGCAAGTTGCAAGGTCAAGGGCTTCCTGATCCTTGTTCTGCTTCAACAAGAGGCGAAGTTGGTCAACAGCGGCATAGCTAGCTGCAACGACGAAACTCTTGAAGTGGACATTTGGATGCTCTGCAGCATACTTGGTGATAACATTGACGAATGCTTTCAGAGCAGCTCGCGAAACGGCTTTGGAAACTGAGACTTCCGAAGCAGCAAAGAAATCAATCAGCTGCGTTTCAATGATGGTGAAGTCCTCAAAGCGGTTGTTTCGCACGAGAATATGGCGGAGACGAGCCGCATGGACGAAGACCGCTTGCAGCTTGGCTTTGGCCTTGATGGACCGGACGAAACGTTCGTAGAACAAATGCTCCTGTTTAGATTCGGTCAGTATACGAATAATGTATCAGAAGGGGGTAGGCGGCAACGTCTTGATTTAAGAAGGAAACGGCCTCGAGGAGACGAGTCAGATCTGGAGTACCACTTACGGCTACCAACTCAGCAATATTGTGTGCAATGCTTAGAGTATGGTCGCTGCGGACATGATACTCAAAAGCAGCGATAAAAGCGAAGCAAGCTCGCCCGATCGTGGCGCCGTGGAACGCGGAAGTCTTGGGCGCAGACTGGTAGATGGCCTGGAGTTTGAGGTCTCTGACGATCTCCAAGGCGTGGCGGCGGAGGTCGTAGCTGATGAAGATCGCGGCGAGGAAATCAGCAACGTAGACCAGCTCTTCCGTTGTGCGAACGTTCAGGACGATATCCAGGATCAAAGACCTGAGTTCTTTGATGATAAGGTCTGTCTTTTGCTGCTTGTGGTAAATGGCGATCAGCTGCTGGAGTTGCTTGAGCGTCTTCGTCTGCGTGTACTCATGTGCTCTGCGGCTCGATATATACTTCTCGAACAGGAGTGACTCGGCCTTCTCGACAGTCTCTTTGCTCAATGTTGTGGATTTGGTCGATGTAATCTGCTTGATATAAAGCTCCTTGATCATGCTCTTGGACCGCTCGATCGTCTGGACGGATACCACTTCGGAATGCTGCGACACGGTCTCGAAGTAGCGGATGGATTCGAACCTGTAAAGTGTTCTTAGCGTCTATCAATGCAGGGAAGGGAATTCTAATAGTTCCTTCGAGAACAGATGTCCTGAAGGAATTGGTGACTTACCAATACTCTTGGCTCTTGGAGCATGCCTCAGCCAATGCGCTTGTTGTAATGATCGAGATCACAGACTTTTCTCCGTAATATTTGAAGCAAGCTTCACGGACCTCCCTCAAGATCTTCACGTGTTGGTCGACGTCCAGCTTTGTCTCTTCCATCGAGGTGTAGTACTTCTCCAACAGGCGCTGGACGACTGTAGCATCGGCGAATTGTTCGTACTGAGTGCCAAACTTGATGAATGTGGCCGCAATCGACTTGAAATGAATCAACGCTTCTGTAAATCGCCGACTTTCATAGTAATGCTCGGCAACAATGATGAGAGCGCGAAGTGCATCTTTCTGACTGATCAAGTCACCTTTGTTGACGGCATTGACAATTTCAAGGTAGTATTCCACCCAGTACCTATGGACGAGATGGTGAGTTCGGCAGGTGTCTGCGAGATTGTAGAGGAGAGTTATTGTCTCCTTGTCACTCTTGCCGTAAAAGTTGCGGTAGTCGACCAACAACTCTTGATAAAAGCTAATGATGCGGTCGTGGAACCCATGGCGTTTCAGGAACGCCACATACATATCAGAGTATTTGGCAACAGCAGGATTGTCAATACCGTGTGTCTTGTGATGAGCACGATAGAGCCTCAGGTAAATTTGCTCGCTCTGGTCCAGAACCTGGTGTTGTTCGTAGCATTCAGCTAAACGCACGGCAAGCATAACACTCTCTGTGGAAAATTTGGCAGGGAGAGTAATGCTCTCGAGAGCGTCGTTGAACAATGCCGCCCAGCCCTTCTTCATTGTGCTTTCGAGGACTGTTATGGCTTGTGAGTACCGGCTTTGTTCAATGTAAATAGCCGTCAGTGACTTCGCAAGTTCGAAGGTGGAATGGGTAACCTCGGCAGAGGTTGTGATGGTATGTTCGAATACCTTGAAGCTCGTAGTCAGCTCTGGGACTTTCAGGATGACAACGAGACTTGAAACTAGCGTGGGTAGTTCTATCAGACGGGTGAGAGATGACTTACCTCGCGGATTGTCACCTCGGTGGATTCGCTGACTGTCGTGGTTGAATATTTAATAATCTCCATGGAAGTGGCAGTGATTTGCTCTTCAATCTCCGTGATGAAGGTGGTTTCGCTGACGTTTTTGTAGTAGGAGAAGCATTTTTGATAGACGGATAGAGCCACTGTGTTGAGCTTGACGGCCTTCATGATGACAGCGATCTCTTTCAGGAGTCGAACAATGGACTCGTACATCGAGAACTCGCTGTGCTCAAACTCTTTCCAGGCGAATAGAAGGACAGAAGACGCCTCGTCAACACGATTCCGGGAGTGCAAGAAACGAGCATAGGCCAGCATCAATTCTAGCTTCTTCTGGT